GCATTTGAGAGCACTCAGTTTGATTTCTGATGCTTCTTTCCAGCTGCTACACAGAGGGACATGGAGGGCTGGTTCATTACTGCTTTGAAGGGAACTCGCTGTTTATATAATACACCATCCTCACTGAGTAATACACCATCCTCACTGAGCTTACCACTGGTATGAGAATGCATGGGAGACTATAATCATTTCTAAGAAGCATTTGCCATGTACTGTACTTCCCATGGTAGTGTACTGACCTACAGAACTGAAAACATAAGAAACTACAGAAATGAATATGAAAATTGCAATACAAACATGTTCAGTTCAAAAACATATCGCAAGGCAAAGTTCTGTCCATGCAATTATATTCTACAGTATATGTAATGCAAGATGATGATATACAGGAACTGCAAAATCATTCTGAATGTTGAGATTGACCTGTTTTTGTATGTTTGCTTTTGGAAGCTAAAACAGCTTGTTGGACCATTAACATGCTTATTTTTACAGTATTATGTGATTATACCATTATATAAAATATGCATAAGTCTTTTGTTTCCTCAGTGGTTTTTTTATTCAGTGTACATTCCCCTTTAGGGCCAAAGCATGTTATGCAAACAGTTAATAATAAATGAAAAAATACTTTTTAGATTTGATTCATCAAATTCTCACAGCTGAGGAAGCTAACACCACTATTCTTTAGTTATGTACATAGATTTATATTAGTTTTGTTTTCGGATCACCACCATTACACACTGAGATGCACTCTTGTGCAGTAAATGCATTAACCCTCATAATTTATGATCAGGTCACACAAGTCTTAAGCACAGAGCTAGTTTTCTTATAAGCAGCCTGATGTTTTGTGAGCTGAATAAAACATGGATGTATTTCTTTGGAATGAAAATTATGCAGATTTTCAGTTTTACAACAGCTCCGGATTAATGGACTATTTCTTGGCTGCTTCTGCAATTTAAAAAACAGTATGCTTTTCAGTATGTACTCTTTAAATCTCTTGCAGTTTGCATCTTTGATTAAAAAAAGCTGGCCATGTAAAGAGCAAGTTAACAAGGTATAAAAGAATTGAGCAACACTATTGTGGATGAGAAAGCAAACATCCAAAATATTTTTAGATGTGAGAGACAAAGACGAGATGGTGGGGAAGCTATTTTTAAGCCTTTTAAGTTTTGACGTGTTTTATTGAAGCCTTTTACTTAACACTTTCACTTATCTTACACTTAATTGTTGATTTTTAATCGGGTTCTCTAAAGCAAAAATGAAAAATAAGAAAGAGATCATCTCACTCTTCTGTGTTCTACTACAGCAATGTATTTATTCCAGAAGCTTGTTAATACTGTACATCTCTTGCACACTTGATTTGGAGTGCATTCCATTTGTATTCTCTGCAGAAAAAAGAGTAATTTTCCTGAAACCTCTTGCTGTTGATTTTCACTTGTGACTTTGCTTCTAGTGCATTTTCACCTTGAAGTAGCCATGTAGATTAGATTTGTCATTCCCTTTCACAATTCTCAAAACCTCATACACTGAACGTTGTCGCCTAGTTAATTTCTCTTGCTTATTACGTCAGTTTCTTAAGCTTACGTTTGGCACTCATTTACTTAAAAATATCCTGCTTTTATAAAGTCTACAACTGTGTGCAAAGATAAAATATTGGCTGTGACATATTTAAAGCTACAGTATCTATCCCTTGCCCTGAAGATTATTTAAGAAATGTATGCAATTAACCTAACAAATGGTTCAGAGAGGTTAGGCCACAAAGCTCTGTGATGTTTAATTTGTTTCTGGGAGCAAAAAAAACTCTCTAACCACCCTGTAAACACTGAGTCCTGGGATTAGCTTTTTGCTCTGCTCTGGTGTCTGGTACAGTGGAAAATTATCAATTTTGGTATCTGGAAGCTACAATCTAATGCAGCATTTCAGATGGTGATACAGTAGGAAATTGTGCAGTTTTAGCAATACCTTTCTTGCTTAGGACTCAACAGGTTTTACTTCCGAGCATAGGATGCACACATTTTTTAAAGAGTACATAATAGTCTATGTTATTGTTTCCTTATTAAATCATGCATGCATTATAGAACGTCAAAATCTCTATTGGAATACCAGTGCACTTTGAAATAGCCTTATATACGTTTCTCTACACATCTTGCTCTCCAAACTGACTTAATTTTGCTCAGTAAAGTCCATTAACTGCAAATAAAAAGGTTTGTGTGTCATGCAGTTGCTCTTAATTTTAAAGTGCAGCTAGGATGAGATTGAATGAGGTACATTACTTTGAAAATATGCCATTCCCTTTATCTGTCATCTAGTGAAGTACTTTTCCTATACAGTATGTGTGATATGATGCTAATAACTAAGTCCTGACTCATTTGAAGAATTTCAAGAGCCCTTTATTTGCATTAAATTGTCTGGATAATATAAATGTATTAATTTTCTAATTTGCTGCAAGTCAGTTTGTGTTTCATATTTTTACTGTCTGAAGTCATTCATTTCTGTCATGGGCAAAGTGAAAAAGCATTTGGTATTGCAGTCATACCAACTCTACACTACTTTGGATCAGTAGAAATGATATGAAATTACCTTTAATTGAAAAAACGAAGTCCTTTCTTGAAGGTTATGTGAATAAATGAAAGTTTTGATATACCCCAGGCTGGCCTAGGATATGGAGAGAGACATAAGGTAGCCTTTTAAGACACAAGAAACAACAGTGTTTAAGGAGTGACTGGCTGCATGCAAGAGCTGCAGTGGGCTCTGTTGTGCCAAGTACTGACGGGGAGGTGTACAGGTGGGAGAAGTAGGATTTGTGCTAAGGCAGCACAGGGATCAAGTCCAATGGCAGTGATGTGGCTGAAGGCATGATTGGTGTGTTGCCAGATCTTAAGGCCAGTCTGTTGAAGTTGCTTACAGATGTAATGCTTAGGAGTCCTGCACTGACTCTGATTAAACCTGACAATGCAGGAATAGAGTGCTGAGAATTTCTGAGGTCAATTATAGATAGCAATTTGTTTAAGACTGCTTATTCCAGATTTGTGGAGCCCCTGTTCCAAACGTGCGCGGATGTGTGTGCTGAGCTCTCTTCATGGGATAACTGTGCAGAAGGTTCCAGGAAGATTTAGGGAAGCTATGACAGCTCAAAGCCAGAGATTACTAGACGTCAGGAGATAAGCAAACTGAGGGCCTACTGTATATGGAAACCATGAAGGCTTGTTTAAGATGATTAGTCATGCAGCACTTACTGATTCCAACAGAGGGCCCATGAAGGTGGCTAATGACTTCATTTGTGATGTTACTGTCGATGTTGAATTCTCGGGCCACTTATTCAGTGCTGCATTCTGAACAGTCGTTGTCTGAACAGTCCATAGAGCTCCTGATGTTCCACCGCATGATAGGTTTGATGGGTGATGAGGCAGACAGTGTTTGTTGTGTTTTTTCTAACACCCTCCCCAAAAAGCTCGAGAATAGTGAAACTTAATTAGGGCTTCCCAGTGTGGCTACAGATGATGGAATACGATTTTGCCTCAACCTAAGTCCTTGACAACCCCCCTGTAACAGCCACGTCCATGCCAGGTCACTTTCCTCCTGTTATTCAACCGTTAACCTGGAGAATGTTCTGGGGGTGGGAGGCACTTGTGTGGGAGTTACTTTGCTGTGGACAACCCACTGCACACCAGCTCCCACACATACAGCGCCAGAACGTGATGTTTAGAAGTCACTGCTGCCCCCTTCATCTGCCAGAATGGCTGTTGAGATATTCCAGCTGGTACAGTACATCATTTGATCCTCGCTTTATGGATAGCGTCCACACGATAACAAGATCTGGCCATTTCCAAAACAAGCGTCTGTGTGGGAAATGCTGCATTAGTAGTGTTGGAAGATCAGGAACAGGGAGGGGAAAAAGTAGGCTTTAGCCCTTGAGGCAGAAGCAGTAAATGTGAAGAGAGGCCCCTGGGGGAAAGGAGATGATTTCAGCTGTGTCCCGTTATATATGTGGCATATTCCTGCACTTTGCTTTAAAAATTAAATACCAACCAGTTTTGTTCTAGGATGAAAGCTACTGCAAGCTAAAACTGCTAATTATCAAATTGTGAAATTATATGTATGAATCCTTCACATGCAGTTGAAGAGGAAATGATCAGAAATCCAGTTCTTCATCTGTTGTACTACTTCCATGTTCTATTTACTTTCAGAAGGTTAAAGTAAGGTCAGTAGTTTATTCTGATTCTTTCTATTTTAGTTCTTTTTTGTAAGATTGTTGGGAAGCATTATCCAGTACATTTTGTGTCTCCCTCAATAGTCGAAAAGCTTGTGTCAAAACCTGCATGCATTCATGGAATTTCACATTACAATAATTTATTGTAGAAGAATTGGTAACACGCATGTTTTTAATAGAAATACACAGTATAACTCTTAATGAGAACAGAAATGTTTGACAACTGCAGTCTTTATATTGTGCTTTATACCAGGATTGATGTAAAGTTTATCTATACTTTATATAGTTTTGTTTTTTTCTGTTGTTGTACTGAAATTTTCTTTGATATAAAAGGAAATTTGCACATGAACTGTTTCTGCAGAGGCTTCTTAACAATTCACAAAATATTAAAGGAACCTCCCTGCTGTGCATCAATGTGAGTTTCGAAGCGATGAGGTGCAAGGCACTCTGCTGTCCTAGATATGCCATGAGCCTCTAACCTGAACACTCGCAGCACATGTTGGCACACAGTGATTACAGCCAGGCATGCTCAAATCATCATATCTCCTGGGAGTCCCTAGATGTGGAATGTAGGTAAGGAAATGCGCAGCCTCACTCGAGCAAACTTTCTTCCTTTCGGCTGGTGATGATCCATACAAATCACTCTTGCCAACTCCATGCCAGCTATGCCAGCACCGACCAGGTGTCTCTTTCTTTGCTGCTCTTTGCTCGCTGTGAGAATTTTCTGATTATCCACATGCTTTGGAGGGTGCGAACTTCATCTCTGGCTTAGCAGCAGAGATGGAAGCACGGAGTCAATCAAAATAAAATAATTGGCTATTCCGAGTTGTTGAGCTTAAAAGAGGGGAGAAAATGGGACTCTTCTTTACTGAAAATCAAGAAGCAGACAGAAGCACTTTGCGCATATCACAACTACTGAGCTGCAGTAGTCTCTGAACACATGATGTAAGTGATTCAGAGACTACAAGAAACTTCAAGAGTTACAGCCAGCTCATCATGAAACATTATCTTAATTTAAAGACATCAGAAAGACCCATTTGTAAAATACAACGACAATTTCTGACAATGGAATTCTGTGTATTATACATGCAAATCTGAAATTCTGACCCTCTATCCTGTACACTTTTATTAAAAAATTGATAGTGATGTAACCCTTGCCAGAAAAAGTGGATTGAAAATGGATGAATGAACAGGAGGAGCTGCAAGTGTAACGCATGGTCTTTTTTTACGTGCATAATTGCTGTAGCTATCTGAAATTCTGATGGAGAAAAGCCTAAGGTTTGTATGTAGACCTGCAGGCATCATAACAAGACCAGCCTAACACTGCAATAGTGAAGAAGCTGGTACTACCCCTCTCAGCGTCACAGAGCCCCCTCCCCCTATCCTTTCCTTTCCAGCTACTCCGCTGAATTCTGCAGTGCTGGTAGATGTGGATTGCTTGCAGCAAACGGAGACAGATGAGGTTTATTGATTTTTTTTTTCCTCGCTCGCCCTCTCCTCTCCTCTCCTCCTTCAGTCTTGTTTTACTCGTGTGCTGCTGACTGATAAAACACGAAGCCAAAGCCCCAGATACGGAGCTGCTCCTAGAGAGAGGAAGTCTGATTGGATCCTGCTGGCTTGTCAGTTGCAATCTGAAATGAGTTTTGTATTGTGTCGCCTTGCTTTCCAGGGAGCTTCACTGACTTATACCTGTTAAGGAACTACCTACCAGCAGTGTCTTCTCCACTTATCTCAGAAGCTTTTGAGTTCCTCACCTGAAGGCCTGTGAGAGGCTCCTCACACTGCAACGCATCTTCATCAGGTAAGCAGTGTTGATTCTGATAGGTGCAGCACTGGATGTTGGACACGACAGTGTCTTTATTTTTTGGGTTCCTTTCCCCTGAAAAACATCTTTCATATTAAAGTCTGGAGAAATAGAAGCTAGGCATGTGCGTCTTGTCTTTCTCATCGTATTTCCAGCAGAAAGTCCAAGTGTCTAGTTGCGTAGAACAGGGCTCAACCTGAGCAGTCTCCTTGCAAGTGTGTTGGCTGCCTGCCAGTGGGTCTGTGGGGCATGATTAGACAAAATTATCTCAGCTTATTTTCTCCAGAACCAGACCTCTACACCTGAGACTGCTGCACAATATAATGATTTTTCATGAAACCCATCTGGAACACTTTCACTGTACCTCAAACCATCTGTGAATTTTCATTAAAAAATTCTGCATACTAGTGGACATCTGTTTTTGTAATTAGAAATTAATTCACTGTATTGCATAATACAGTATGCAGTTCATACACTGTAAAAAATGAGAAAGCATTTGACAATATTCAAAGTCTTTTTTTTCCCCCAAGAAGCAATGCAGCACCATACTATATTTGAGTTATTTCAGTGGTGCTATTTCCATTTTCAGTTATGATACCTGTTTCATGTAAGGTATGCTCAGGGCTGTGGTACATAAAATCAAGATCAGTTCATTAGATCAACATTACATTTTTTATTTATTTAATGACATCAGTGTGCATTATTTTGAAAATACTACAGATATTTTCAAATGGTATAAGATTGACTCTGATGAAAAAATATATTGAATACTGATAACCTTTTTTCATACTTAAACAGTAAAGACTTTAATAATTGTGTGGAACTAGTAAACACCCCTTTTATCATGTCATAGAGTCTTATTTTATTAAGCTTGAATCTGCAGAGGGGAACTTCCAATGACTAGACCAAAATATGTTGTATTGCCTGCAGGTTCTTTCTGGGACTAAAGGGATAGCATTAAAAACTGATTTATTGTAATGTTATTACTCAGGAAACTTTTTGAAATATTTTTTTGAACAAGTTAAGTGTTAAAAAGTATGGAGTAAAACAGACAGTGCTTACTTACATATCAAAACTTTAAAGAAACAACATAGAATTTTACACAAATCAATTTTGCAAACCCTTGGTGTTGTGACAAGCTTGTAGAAATCACATTTCCCCTTTGTGCTCCTTATCATTCCCTCTGAGTATGGAATAAAATGTTGGCATATTTATGATGCATAATGGGAGTTTAGAAGTTAGCAAATGAAAAGGTGACGATAGAACGCATAAAAGGCACAGAGGTTCACTGGTTTTAATCACACTGCAACCATGCCTCAGCTCAGTGAACGTGAGTGGAGAGGCATTCTGGGAAAGATGCTGGAATAAATGCCGCACTGAAGCAGGATGAATCCTGAATGCCTGAACATCTGCCATTACTTAATCCCTGCAGTGCTGCCACCTCAACAGTGATGACCCAGAACTGGTCAACCACTGTTAACAGAAGGATTACAAGGTACCAGCTAACCAGAGGAGAATTCCTGGGGAACTGGTCAGTGGAACAGAAGGCATTTAATAGGAAAATTCTATGACAGAAACCATATGTTTCACAATCAATTGAAACAATATTCAATTTGTAACTCATGTTTAATTATTTTCTCTGGTTGGATATGATGGATGTAACGCTCAAACATCAGTTGTTTGTTTTTTGCGACTGATTTTCGCTGAATGCTCACCTACTGTAATTTGGAAATCGCCAATCACTTCTTGAGGAATTATGCACCGCAGTCGAAGTCAGCTTGTGACACGAGCCATCGAGTTCCACCTGTGCTCAGAGCTGTTGCTTTTACGGATTGAACAACGTAAAACGCCCAGACACATCCTTTTTGTAGAACGTTAGTTAGATATAGAAAGGTCCTTCATGTTGGGAAAGCCAGCAGCACACCTTGTTTTGTGGGACTCAAACAGCTGGTTATCAGAATGTACATTCGGTGCTGGCATTTAAAATATTCCTGTAAATTGTATGCCTCTTTACATTCTGTGTTCATATATTCCTACGTTATGTCCGACATGCAACCAACTGTGATGGTTAATTACGTGCACTCGGAAGTATGTGTCTATAGCTGATCTCTGAGATCTCTGATGTCTTGCTCTGCTGTCAGGATGGCCCTTTACAAATAAGCAGAACTGCACTGAAATAAAATCCTAAACTACACCGAAATGCAATATAACTTGTTGCATCCCTACAGTTGGTAAATAGATAAATTGTTGCATTAAGGTTAGAGCAGAAGACACAATGCTTCAGTTCTGCAGAGCAGGAACTATGGCTGCTCACTCTTATCCTAATGCAGTGATGTGTGAACTGGGGGACAGACTCAGTAGAAGAGGGATTGTCATTCTTGAAAACAAGTTTAAACTCTCAAGACAATTCATCTCTATAACATTTCCAAATCTTGGAAAACATGGTGGAAATGGTTCAATGAAGAAACCAAGAAAACAAATCGGAAGTAAGAGAGTGTTCAACAGAAAAGGGCTCAAGATTCAAGACAAAAAATGCAAAATATTTTTCAATACTATAATAGTGAAAAGTGTAAAAGCTTGAATAAATAGCTTGAGATTATACAGGATAAATAATAGAGGGCTAATAGAAAAAGAAAACACTGGCATGCCTTTGGTCAGGAAGCTGTAGCAGTGATCCTCTAATAGATAGGTCTTAATAGACGCATGTACATAGAGTGAAGGTAAAAATACTGCTCTTTCTAAATGAGACCTCCCTCAGCCCAGGTAGCTGAGGTCCCTGCTACACGCAGGGAGGGCGATGACGTCACCGTGTCCGAACTAGCTCCTCTACAATTTCATAAATGAGAGACATTGGAGTATGTGAACAAACAGTTTTTCTGGTTTTGGTTTTTAATGTAAAATGCATGGTTCCAGGATAATTAACACACCTGACTGAGATTTCCAAGGAAAGCACACACCTGATCCATTCAGGTTATTGCTCAGATTCATTCTGTATATTAATCTCTTTTATCTTTAATCGGCCATCTTATATTACTGTTCAAGCATGATCTTTTGTTATTTTCCTGTTTGCTTTCATGTTTGTAAAACATGATTTCTACTTCCTCAAGAACCGATTAATTATATTGTTACGGCAAAACCTTCATGTTTACATGGGTTGGCAGCATGGAGTAGCACTTGGGGCTCTGGAATCCTATCCAGATATGTGTTGGCTCAAGTTCCAGGTGGTATGCCGCTGTCAGGACAAACCTAGAGAGGTATCAACATGTACTGACGTATTTTAATTGGAAAAAATCAATACTCTTTTTCCGTTATATGGATTTTCTCCAGTCATCTCTAGGCAGATGGGATTTCAGACATATCCATCTTTATTTTTTGTTACAATTGTACAATTTCTTGACTAACATGATGAACTTTATTGGTTTCGCTGTTCACATGCATCCTCATTTCAAATGATTTTGGTTTCACCCCTTCTTTTTGTGTTGAGACTCACTCCTGCTGCAGAAATTGCCTCCCATTAATCAATGGCTGTGTTAATGAGTGTTGATTTCAATTTGTTCTCTTTCCCCACTGCTGATCTCTTTCTTGGGCTCATCTGTAATTGACTGCTTCATTGAGCTCTCCCCTTGGCGTCTCCCAGCCCTCTTCTTTAGGCCCCACGATAGAAGCATTTTGCTTTGAAAGATAACCCTAATATCACTTTTATAGTTGTTCTAAAAAACATGTTTTTCCAATATAATGTACTGTATGTGTACACACTGCCTTTCTAACAGTAAATAAGAGAATGGGCTGTTTAATTGGGGCGAGCCGACCTGTCCAAAGTAGCCCCTCCATATCACAGGTTTCAGAATCCCTGAGGTCTACAAAACAGTAACTGACCAGGCTGCTTTCCCATAGACTGGGAGGGATAATATTTGGTATACAGTATGTGCCTCCGGTAGATATGAAAGCAATAGCATTACCAGGCAAATGTATTGGTTTTAAAAGGCTGAGGGTTTTACAGGCAGTAGTTGTTTGATTAAAAAAAACTGCAACAGTAAGAACAATCGAGACTGCCTGACAAAGGCATTGAACTGCTGCTCACATATTCCTAGCCATGAATACAGGTGATTTTCTAAATTAAGTAATTTAGAGATCAGTTGGAACAGAAATCTGAAGACCCTGCTGCGATCAGGGACTGGAGTTCCCTTGATTAAACAAATTAGTTGCTTAATTGATGGACAATTCACAAGTGTTCCTTATCTTAAACAGTAGTGGTGTGTCGGGGCTCTCCGGGGGCAGGGTTGGAGTCCTCTGATTTATTACAATCGCTGCCACAGCATGTGAATTGTTTTCACAACCTCTTCAAAATGCAAGATAATGAAACGGATTGATTAGTTTGGTGTTTAGAAATGTAGCTTTGCAGCTTGAGGATAAAGATTGATTCGTTTCTTTAGAACTATGGAAGCTGGCCAAGTTCTCATCCCCATCATGGCAGCCACCTTAACTGTGATCTGTCGTTTGGCTATTCAGTGTGATGGGTAGTGAAAAGCTCTTTTTAATGCTCCTTGGCAAAATTGTCCCTCACTCATTTGCCATCATAGTGAGCATCGGAGCATCGTTTACTTGTAAATCATTACGTTGTAATAGAAAATAGCTTGTCTGCAAATTGTTGAAAATATATGTGTAAACACAAAACCATAAAGATGTGCAGCATCTTTGCTATGTGCTATTGGTTGGCTGTCATTTTAATCTAGCTTTATCAGTACTAGTCATTATTCACAGTTATAGAATGCAGATTTATTTCTGATGCATCCACAACCAATGTGCTTAATTTAAAAGGATTTAAAGCCTTAAGATTATTCCTAAAGATTCTTCAAAATATTCGTTTCACCTTTTCTGGGTTTCAGTGCAATCTTTTAAAATACTACATTTAAGTAAAATGACAGAATAAATAAAAATGTGGCATTGAAGCCTTAGTGAGCAGATACCCGCAGTACAGTGTTCTTTAATGTATCAATCAGAGTAAATTATTAGGCCTGTTAAACACTCAGTTGATCTAATGACTGAATTAGGAAATAACATTGCTTATTCATTGTCTCATTTACAAATAATATGTTCTGGCTCTGATTTGTTTTCTGTCAAGTAATTAGTGGCAAACAGAATATTTCTATCAGTGTATATTAGATACTTGCATATAACCTTGGCATCAGTTAGTTTTTAACACAAAAAATGCTCTTACAGTACATTGAAGGAACACATACTGTACAAAGTGTACTGTACAAAATGTACAAAATGTATTTTTACATACTGTTAAAAAAACTGTACAAAATGACACTAATTATTTAGCCAAGTCTGCAGTCCTGCAGTCTATGATCATTAGTAGACCTAAAGTTCATTTTGAAAATAATTTAAAATAATGCCGTTGCATAAAAAAGTTTAGATTTATCAGTTGCATTTCTCTTTGTAATCCAAACACAGGGCCTGACCAATTACTGTGCAGCCTGCTAACCTGAGGTACTGTAGATGCAGATAACCCATACTGTACCTCCATCCGCCACTCACACACTGCTTTACTTTGCCATACTGTGATTCCAGAACAGTCACTGCAGACCTGGAGCATTGACACAGTCTGATCCCTTAGGAAACTTGTCTGGAATTGATTTCTATGGTTCGCACAGCAATTATGAGAATCTGAAAAAGAGCAAACAACAAATTAATAGTAAATGTATAGATCTGTAGCTTTCATAAACAGATTGATAACTATTGGTGAGTTATAATAGTGTGATAGGCCTAAGAAGGAACCCCGATTCTCAGATTGGATTAAAAAATCAGAGGAGAGGTCTGTAAAATGTTGGCCAATGAATAACATCTCTTGTGTTCTTAAGCTCAGTTGCTAGAATACCACCAGGTACCAGAGATTTGTTTCAAGTGCTGTACCTGTCATACATCTACTCATTTTGTGCTGTGTTTTAATTGTGGCAGGTTCTTTCGATGCCTGAGGCATGCTGTCAGTTCCTCTCTTGGCGAGCACTGAAGTGAAATGTTCAATTAATTTTCTGTTTTCCTTCTTTAGTTACTCCAGTTATGTCATAATTGCATTGGAATACAGTTGCTTCTATTTCTGTCATTTCGGTTCTAATACTCTTTAGTATTACTGTACTGTATAAGCATTTAAGTACCTGCTCCATTGATGTTTTATTTTTGTGGGGTTCCCTTTTTGATTCTACTCCCTTTAGGTTATGGATTTCCTGACCACATTTTCTATAGTATGCTGTTGTATTCCTACTCCTGCCCATGATTTCCTCTACTATCTTCTACAGCTGTTTGGGCCTTTCTTTGTTATTCTCTTCATAGTTACAGTGGTGTTCACAGTAAACGTACAATGTATTTACAGTTTCTGCAGTAATTTCAGTACTTCTAGTACAGAATATGAAGTGATACTGCTGTGTGATCGATACATGTATCCTACATTTTTGAAAACCGTATCATAAAAATAATGTAAGACAAAATGTCCCTTATTTTTCTAATTCCAGAAGACTTAATTAGTCATAAAAAAGCTTATTGAGCCAAAAACATCATCAAGCTGTGTCTGGTATAATTCTGCAGACTTCCTTTGTGTTGGATTCTTTACAACCCAGTTTGTAAAGAAATGTCTTCTGGATTCAGCACTAAAAACACTGGCTTTTAATTTTGATTTATGCTCTCTGGGCTTGATTGTTTAACAATGTGAGCTTGGTATATTGTATTGTGATTGTGAAGCAAGAGCCTGACTTTCTTTTGTGTTATTTCCAGGAGATAATAAGGATCACAGCATGACGGACACAGTTTTTGGGAACAGCTCAGAGCGCTGGGTCTGCCCTAATGACAGGCAACTGGGACTTCGTGCCAAGTAAGACCAGCTTTGTCCAACATATGACAGCCAGCATAAGGAGGGATAGGCACTAGGCAGCTTTCAATAAGGAAAGAGCGTGTGTTGAAGTCCATATTGATGTGGCATAAAGAACCAATCGGAGAGCTGCCGTACTGAGCACGTCTGTGACAGGAGGGAGGTGATGGTCCTGCTGATTTGGCCACATGCTTGCAAATCACTGTAACATCCCAAACTGCCCTGTAGCCTAGTTTTGATTTTCTTTGGCCTATATAAACAAATTAGCCATCAGATCCACCAGTGCATCTTAATTTCAGGACAAGCCTTCATATACTTCATTCCTTCATTCATTCACTTCACACGAGACTTGGGCTTCTAAGATTTTGTGGTTTGCCAAAAACCTAGAAACATCAGGAGCTTCCAGACTTCATTAAAGACACTTAAGAACATACTGTAGGTGAGGTATAACAGTTCTAATTCTGTAACTCATTGCATTAATAATGCAATGTACAACATCATTTAAAATTAATTTCCATACACTGTCTTTGCATAGAGCTATGTAAACATAATAATAGAGATTAATCATTTTGTGGTATCAAAATAAACAAGACCTTTTTTAGGTGAGTCCAGCTGATGTAGAGAGGTTTGTGTCCAATTAGTTTTGTGCTAGGCATTGTACTCTGTTGTACTTTCATTATCTCCATGGCCAGGCATCTCATTTGATATACTGTAGCGGGGCTGTACAATAATGCTATACTGATAACAAATAATGTAACACTTGCTGAACACTGAGCAAACTCCCACTTATGCCCTTGCGGTCTACTTAAAGAGCTAATTCTGAAGTAATACTCAGCCTCCACTGTGTTGCTTATTTTTAATATATTGAAAGCTTCAATTAGATCCTCCTTCAAATACTTCTCAAATGGCAGCTCGTCAGGACTGAAGCAATTCTCTCCTTCTAAACTGTAAAAATAATTTATGCTCTTAGTCTTATGGAAAACAGCCTGTGAAAAGGGTTTAAGTGTAGCTCGTATACAGTTATATACAGTTGCTCATTCATCATTTGTTATGTTCAGTATATCAACAGACATATTCCAGCAGGTTACAGAGAAATCTAAGTGAATCAATTTCTTCCAAATGGCTTTGCAGTGTGTTCCTCTCTTTACCTGTCCAAACGTCATTTCCAACCTGGAAACAACCTGGTGTTTAATGGTAAAATGATGATATTACTCGGCTGCTAATGTAAACCACTGTGAGTGCATTGAACAGCTGGGTACATGAGCACCACAGATTACTCATAGAAGAAAACTGATGTTATACAATCAAATTTAACTACACTGAAAATAAAGAAATGAAAAAGCTTTATATAGAGATATGTGACTAGCTTATTTTCTTTATTAAGATAATAAAGCTGTTCTTCTAATATGTCATTCTCAAAGGACATTGTAAAACAAAAATATCACTTAATGTACTTTGAGTTATGACCTTTTCATACATGATGCCTTGTGTAATGTGCATTCATTTTCTCACAGAGGCACACAACATCTGACAAAAGATAAAAATAAGAGATCTTATACAGATTATATACTTTAACAAGAAAGATAATTTTATAAAATAGAAGATTTAAAATATCTAAATGTATAGCTTTTAACTTTAATTTAACTTTAATTTTTATGTGTTATTTGAAATAACAAAAAATCATTCAGAAACAGCATTTTAATTACAAATAAAAAATTACTCTCAAAAGCTGTGTCTTGGACAGCAAAGGCTTCAGTGTTCTTGGCTGTGTATAACACACTGATCTGGGTTATTTTTCTACAATTGTTTTAAATGTTAGTATCTTTGCAGTTTATTTCTCTTCGTATACCTTTTGATGCAGGAGTAGAGCTTTGAAGTGTAGTGACTCAGACAAAATGGAGAACTGCTTCTTTTGGTCCTTAAAACTGCTGTCAGGATGACTGCTTTCTTTGATGTTAATCCTCAAAACCTCTCTTCTTCTTTTCCTCCCCTCCTGCATTCTCACTACAGCGAAAAGGAACAGTAAGTACAACTTGTGTCTGTTTCATACCCTGTCAGCTTGCCGTTTGTAAGTTATCTGTGCTACAGTTCTGGTACCTTGCAGCTGGTTGGTGGTACAGAAGCTCTAGCATTTATCTGAATTAAAAGAATAAGTTATCTGCTGTCAGTTATTTACCTGTTTGGTAGGTGACTGGGTAAAAAACAATGGCAGAATATATTTTAAGTTGGAGGTTATATCTCTAAGCATAAAAGGGACAGATTTTTTTCCCATAAGCAAGATGTTGATTTCCTTCTCCTGAATACATTCTGCAGGTATTCATTTTATTACAGAGAACCTGGGTGATCATATACCTTGATGTACCCACTAAAGGCAACACCGCTAAGAGCTGCTGGAAAAAATATTCTCTGCCAAGCTGTTTAAAAGAAATATACAATCCTTAGCACCAAACAAATCTGTCAAAGCACTTCTGTGCCTTTTGTTATGAAAGAGTACCCGATAAGCAAACGTTCTGCTATGGGACTGTTGACTTGACATCATTATATGGGTAAATACAGGGGAACTGCAACACTCTTCTGAAGGGGCCCAAGTCTGACATATGGCATTAGTGCATGATTCTACGTGTCTTGTGTCACACTGCTCTTTTGCTGTGGCACTGTCCCTTCTTGCAAACAAAGATAACTTGTTCTGCTTTAAAGTTCAGAAGTGACCGACGGAGACAAACAGCTCCTGCTCCTCTAGTTTCCTCTATCACCCTGCTTCAGGGTTCAGTCAAGGACAGACACAGGCAGCAGGAAGGTGGTGTAATCTTCCACTCCTGCAGCATCGCTGTTTAAGGGACTTTTCCTGTGTTTGCAACTGAGTGATGAGGATCAGAATTGCCTAAGTTGCCCATTGACTTTATGTTTTCAACTAGTGTTTTACCAGCTTTAGAGGTAATGCAATATGTGTAATATGCAACCCGTTAACAGAATCAAGTTCCTGTTGTGGTGAAATATGCTTATAAAGACAGTTAGTGCTAATTATAAAGTGTAAAGCTGATCTTATGTGATGCGAGTTATTGTTAGGTTGGGGTTTTTTTTTGCAGTACAGTGCGATTTTTGACTGGCTTTATGCCATGTCATAATGTAAGCACAACTGGGAATCCAATTTAAGGTTTGTCATTAGTGTAACGTCTTGAGTGGCCAGTGATTTAATTGATGGCACACTGGTGTGTATTTCATTATCTGAAGAAGCGGTACTGCTCAGGCTTGGCCATGATCTGAGTGCAGCCAATTAAACACTGCCTTTTATTACAATGCGGGCTTCATTCTCTAAGCAGTCTTCAGTTACTATGTATTTTATTAAAAACCAGTCGCTTGACTTTGGAAAACACTATTTAGTGGAATGCATTTGGGTAGGTGCTGTAGGCCCTGCAGACACAAAAGCAGAGCCAAAAAGATCTACAAGCAGACAGATTCAGCTGCATTTAGTGTGAATCACAGAGCTTGCATTACTGAAGTGTGTCAAGTCTTGATTATCTCTCTGTGCTCTGCATGCAGTGGGTTTAGCTGTAAGACACTGCAGCACTTTGAGTGGTTAGTAAAGAATTCCAATGAGCCCTGTGAGCAGCCTACTCATTATTTTTTAATGTAGTGTTTCAGCAGATTGCTGACCTCCCCCCTCCTCCTACCCACCTGTACCCCTTTTGAGACCAAGAAATATTTTCTGCATTTAATCAGCGGGCCTGTTTTCTTGACGGAGAAGCTCTGTGGCATGGCCGTGCTCCCATGCTGCTCTGTGTGGGGCGCTCTTTCTCTTTTATACTCCATGAGTCACCTTTCTTCCTCTCCCTTGGCCAGCTGCACTACGAAAACACTAATTCAAAAGAACAAAAGAGAATTCCGTTGCATAGCGATTTCAAGCCTCTGCAAGACAAACCTGATGTTTCATTTTTCATTAGTTGTGTTCTACAAAAGATGAACTATTTTTCTGACATAACATTAAAAAGAATTACAGAGTACAGTATCCCTTTGAATGACACTGGGCTTATAAGCTAGGGAGTTGTGGTAAAATTCATAACCAGTCCCATGACCCATTAATCTGCTTTATTAGATTAATTAAAAAAAAAATGAATAGCTTGGGCCAAAGAGCCAGCTTCACCAGTGAGCTCAGGAGACTAAATCTGAGGCATTCATTTCAAACAGAATAAATTACATTCTGAGAAAATGTGTGTTGTGAGGTTGAAAACATTAGAATCTAGGCTATTGCAGAGTGACAATATATATTTACTCAAGAAAATCTCAAGAATGTTCTCAAGAAAATCCTAACTTTGAGAGGTGTCTTTGCTTCTTAAGTCAAACTGCCTCTGGTCAGCTTCATGATCTCAGACACTTGCTGCCTGAGGGAACTGGACTAGTTAGACTTTGACTCCTGGACGCGGATACTTCTAGAACTAGTTTATTAATTTGGCGGGTTACTTGGTTGAGACTGTCTGGGAGTGTTGTACTTTGTACCTTTACTGAAACGATAATGCTGAACACCTCTTCCTCTGCTCTGTGGTACTTGGGTCATCTTAGATTTCAGTAGACTTTCATCTGTGCTAACATATGTTCCCACTGTGCCAAAACATTTCAGACAACAAGAGGAAAACTGCTGTTGCTACCATGTTATGCAATAGCACAGATAGCTCAGATCGATCGCATTATCCTTTGTGTCTGTGAAACGTAAAATATCACAACTATAGCTAGGTTAGCTGATCACAACTAGGTTAGCTGATCTTTATTTGATTGTCTGTTGTTTTTGAAAGGTACATTTAAGTGTCTGGAATAACATTCTTTTTTGTTCCTTGCTAAATACCTTGAAGAATTGAGAACTGTCGATTTCTTTCTCACATACTGTATATACATTACTACATTACTACATCCATGATACAGTTTTTGTTGGGAGCTATTTAGGATTGTCATAACAAAGAGGTTGAATACGTATGCAGTTATTTTCTGTTTTATATTCATGATTAATTTAGGAGGATATGTAGAAATTTGATTTAACTTTAACATTATAGTGTTTCATGATGGTCAATGTAAAAAAATCCCAATGAAATGCATCATGATTTTATAACACAATAAAATGTGAAAACACCTGGGGTGAGGGTGAATACTTAAGGTACATTTTGAAGGGGTGCTGACTCCCTTACAAGACATGGGCTGGGGACCATTCCATAGTCTTGGAGCGACAGAGCAGAAAGCAGGGCTGTCCAGTGTTCAAAGTCCTCATACTCATACTGGAAACCGAAAGGCTCCCAGAGTCTCAGGAGTGCCAGTGGAAGGTGTATAAGGAGCTAACAGTTAGAACAAGCATTTACACAACTGTTATCTGTTTTGTGACTTTTTTAAAATGTGAGTTTTTATTAATTATTTTAATAATTTCAATACTATTCCTTTTCCACAGTGGAAAGTGGAAGTCATTTTAGAAGTTAGTTTTCTAAATTTTAGTAATTGAGATTCCAGTAACTCTAAAATCAAAATTGTTAGTGTGTAGAGGCAGCATCACCTATCACGAGATATTAAGATGCTGTTAAGAAGGAGTAGTACAAAAAGTAGGGTATTGTAATCATATTTAAACAGATTTTATTAATGGTTTTCCATTGTGGAATGAGCAAAAATATGTCATTGCATCACTGAAACTGCATCTGACCTACTGTTTTTCCCCCTAGATGAAAGTACAGCTGCAGCACATATTGAATATTTGGGTGTTGCTAATGAGACTGCTAGACTTGAGTTTATTTTTAATAAGCACGTTTTCTAATTAATAGAGAGTGAGCTCATCCCATCTTCATTTGCCTTGGGGATGTGGGAGCACGTTTATGCTTCATGCACATTTTATTAAGTACATAGGACACCTCCTCAGTAAGCCAGTACTGTAGCTCGTGTAGCACAAGCTGCCTATTCTGAAAACTGAGGTTTTGATTCCCCTGATTGAATGTAAACTTCAGTATTGTTATTTCTCAAGCCATAGAAAGTAAATCTGGGAGGGGCTCAATGTGGCTCGACCAGCAGAAAGGCTCATGCTGGGCGCAGGCCAAGCTCACTAGTTGAGTCACGGCTTGACTTTGACCAGAATCCCCCAAGGGGTGTATAATTGGCAAAGCTCTGCCAAGATATAGGTGGGATTAGCTGGTCAGGGCTCTCTGGGCTTTCCAGGAAACAGCAGTTTCTGCAAGGCAGCTGTAATGTCAATGAAATACATTCTGCTCCATTGAGTGCCAGCACCCCTGTCAAGCTCTTTGGAGTTGCAGTGTGTGAAAGGATAATGACTCTGATGGGTAGATGGGTTGGAGGTGTCTGCTCATGCTCGTGCTCCTTGTGCACTACAGGAGTCACTGCTGCGAGACAAGACACGAAGAAACAACTCTCAGTCAAGGTAAATCTGAAGCACTGCTGAGATTGCACAGGCGAAAATATAGTGATGAAACTAAACATCAAGTCAATCGCCTTGTGCCTGGAGTGTCCAGACCGTGGACTGTGAGAACAGTCCCATGACTTGGTTCAACTTCACCACAGCCAAGCAGTCAGTAATAAAGTGGCCCAAGTTTATTTTCTCACCACAAGGTAGACATTTGAAGAAACTCTGCCTGTTCCAATCAGGATATATCTGATTGGAAATATCGATTTCTAATTCCCTTCCGTTCTAGGCAGGACATTTCTGTTCCAGGCAACAGTGTTGTGGTTCAGTTTAAAAAATATATTTCTAGTAGTATAGTGCTGAAAACTAACCCCAGACCCCAGACCTCACCTCTCAGAACGTGGTGCTGCAGTTTCTAGCCATGCAGTGCTCATAGAGTTTGTGTTAAGACAAGGGATCGCAACATCAGGTACTCAGGCAACTTGTATTTGCCAAAGATAAATATGTAATTAACAAAATTTATGTGTAAATATATCTGTAATTAACAGGTATTCTTTTAAACATTGTCTTATTTTTACTTAAAAATTAAGCTGACCCAAATTGCCAATGACTTGAGGATTCAATAGTATGACTTGATCAGCAAACACTGGTTCGCACGTTGTATCATCAGGAGTGGGGATTAACTCCAACTAATTTTGTCTACTTAGTTTGTAAAAACTGGGTTGGCAAATGAAAAGCAACCGTTCATGTTGAACCGCGTGTCTGTGCCCTAATGGCGCATGTTTGTCCGGATGGCAGGATGGGCACCAGCTGGACGGTGCACTCGAACCGGACAGAGCCACAGCGGATGAGTGAAGAGCTGACGGACGAGGAGAAGGAGATTATCAACAGAGTGATTGCCAGGGCAGAAAAGATGGAAGCCCTAGAACAAGAACGTATCGGGTGAGTTGACACCTAAGTAACAATGCGCATTCTGGCTTTTTATAGAGCACACCATGCTGGACAGAAATCTTACATTTCGGTGACTACAAGTCAAGAAAGGTGGAAATACAGTTCATTTGAGTGGCTAGGTTATTATAAGGGCTTGAAAAGAACAGAATACAAATGTCCAAAATATAAAAAAGAACCCTAAACTATGCTTTAATGAAAGGAAAACATCTTTATCTATACTAACTAAAACATATTGTAGATGTTATACTTTTCCAGTTTCTTATCTGCTGTAAAATGAATAAAATGGGGAGGGACCTCTGCAGGACAAAAATCTTGAGAATGACCAGATGGTGTCATTTCTGTGGAGGAACTCATCCTGAAAGAAGCCAGACTGTCAGCACTGACAACATGGCTGGTAGGACTCTCCCTTAGTCGGCCAGTGTGTTTTTCACTCTGCATGTCAGGGTTCACAGTATGTAATTTGTCAGTTAATTAGAAGACAATACAAAAGGCAGTAAGAACATGGTGTGCTGAAAGAACTCTGGGCAATGGAGAAACCTGTCTTACTCGAGTCTTGCCTTTGCTCCAGACGGTTGGTGACCCGCCTGGACGATATGCGGAAGAACGCTTGTGGCGATGGTATGTCTCGCTGTGTTCTGTGCGGGGAGCAGTTAGGCGTGGACGGTGTGGCCTCGGTGGTGTGTGAAGACTGCAAGAAGGTACGGACTGTGAGAGCGCAGTGCCTTTCCCATTCCAGGAAATAAAGTTTCTTACTACTAGGAGTTCAAGCAGTATAGTAACTCCCTTTCACGCAATGTGTCAAAGAAAAAAAAATACATGTAGGCAGATTTCATCCTTCTCCACAGCTTTTAATGTAAAGTTATAAATTATAATTGTATCTGTGTACTTTTGCTAACAAGAAATTGCAATTAAAAAATGGCACTTTAGGTCTGACACTATTTTGAACATCAGCCAAGAAAGAAGACAGCTCAGGCTTGTCTGGATACAGTTCCCGATGTGTGTGTGTGTGTTTGCATTTCTGCAGCATGTGTGCAGGAAATGCGGTGTGGAGAGTCGGCCGCGCTCGGTGTGGCTGTGCAAGATCTGCAGTGAGCAGAGGGAGGTAAGAGGCACTGGAATTCTTCGGTTGTAATTGAGGAGCGTTCTGTGTATCCCATCAGTCATTTGGATTGATTTAGGGCAGGGTAATCTGAAACTGGTTCTTGAGCGTGGGTTCATTTGCAGGTTTCTGTTCCAAAGCACACAAGTCTTAATGACATAAATCGGCTTGGGTTTATTTTACTCAAGTTTTACCAGGTCTTTTGGTTGCTGCTTTCGCTTTAAAAAAGACCTAGAAGAGCTGCACACACACCAGTTTACAAAGACCACAGCCCACCACCCTGATATTGCATGCTGTGAACGGTCTATGAATAAAAGAGAAAGGCAGGGTAATCTGTGACTCACATTTTTTTTCTTTAAAGACATTAAACCTAAAACTAACTGCAAACATAATGTGGTCCGAGGGGGTATTTCCTTAAGAGCTGTCCATGCTTTGATAAATCTGGCAGGGCTGAGGCATGCCTAGAGAGCCATCTGCTGATGAGACGTGAGGTGGCCCTGCTGACAGGACAGAATCTGCTCTATGGACATTAGTGTCCACAGAGGATCAGAGAGGCCTGAACTCTGAGTTCCAGTATAGCAATGTCATTTTCTGAGCAAATTCACATAAATTCTATGGTTTTTGAGAAAAAGAGATAAAATTACATAATTATATACACCTTCTCTGTTTCTTAAAATTGACCTCCTTCACACAGAGCAGTAACTCCACAAAGTAGCCTACATGTCACCATCGTTAAGACAGCATTTAAACAGAGTATACACAGTGATTTATAGTGTTAATAAAGGTTCTTCTGTTGTGCAGGTCTGGAAGCGTTCTGGAGCCTGGTTCTTCAAGGGTTTGCCCAAGCAGTTTCTGCCTTCTCCCATGCCAATCTCCAAGCCCAAAGATCCTAGCCTCCAGAGGGAGGCTGACTCCAAGGAGCCCCCCAGCAGGGAGCAGAGAGCCAGCAGCTATCCAAGGACTCTGGGCCGAGGTGAGTTTTCCACAATGGGAAATGCTTACTGTAGTATTGGTTCTGTGTAAGTGTAAAAGTCAAATTGTTACTCTATTTTACAAAATGAGCCTTAACAGAATTAGATTTCCTTTAAGATTTAACTGCATTGCTCAAAGGAGAAAGCCACATCCATGCTTTTTAATTGGAAAAAGCTTTGGAAACCACCACAACATGCATGGAAATGCAGGTGGAAGAAAGTTCTGTTCCTGACAAGTCCAATTAGGTCAGCCCTCTCTGGCTCATCTGGAGATTTAGATCTCTGCTTGAGAGTCTGGGATTGGAGCACAATCCAGCACAAATACTCAGTGCTTGTATAGTCAGAGAGGAAGACCTAAAGTTAAGAATCAGAACCTAAATGTTGGAATGTACACAAGAATGCTTGGAAAGACAATTCGAGAGTGAAGCTGGCATTGCAGTGCCTTCCTCAACAGCTCAAGTAACAACCAGAATTTTTCCTTACTGTCTCCACCACATATTGATCATGATTAAACATTAAACTGAAAAAACAAGCCTTGTATTCTACCTGTGGATTTTCTCAAAGATTGTCAAGGAAGGTGGTCTGGCAGCGTAGGGGAATATCCATCTGATCAAATGTATGCTGACAGCTAAACATGCTTATCTCCAAAACAGCTGACTACCGGCCTCATCGTTACTATTGTCGCCTCTGACTTGTGCTTTCCCAAAGCACAGTTATTACAGGCGGCTCTTTGCTCATTGTCCATGATTGCTGGTGTGCTGCAGGGTGGTTGTTTAGCAGTTGGGTTTTGCGAGTGCCATGGATGGCCTGATGAAACATGCAAGCCTCTGTGCTCCTTCCAGACAGGGTACCTTCAGTCAGAAAGCCTACTTGTGTCATGCATGGAAATAGTACCAATGCAAATTGATGTTAGGAGAAGGCGGGGCTAACAGTTAGCTCTTTACCTGTTTTGCGTCAGTAATGGCCTTCAGCAAGTCTGTCACCAGTCATTGGAAAGCACATCAGACTGGGAGCATGTTAATATGAGGTGGCATTGACTTTTTTTTCTTTTTGTTCAATGGCAAAAGACCTTTGCCATTTTCCCTTTTAGTTTTCCTTTGTCCTTGACCCTGATGTTCAAGCTCTGTTAAGCTTTGCTTGTGGGAATTGCCGGGGCAGTGGAAAAATACTTTTGTCTTTGCTTGATTTGATTTAATGATACATTTAGATTAGGGGTATCCAAACCTGGAGGCCCTGTGTGTTTGTAGGTCTTCTACAGTACGTATTTTTAAGTCAGTAGTATTTGAACATCTAGGCGATGATGTCAAACAGGTCAATTTCAGCCAATAATGAGCTGTTTGATGTAGTAAAGAAGTGAACTTGAATGAAAACCCACAGACATACCTCCCTCCAGGGCCAGGATTCGATCTATTGCTGACCAGAGCTTGTATATTTAACATTTGTCTTCATTTGACACAGTATTTGTTCCAAAACATTTTTAAAGCTCTAGTTCCTGTTATTGTTTGTTTTTTTTGTCATTGACCTCTAATTAAGATCTCTCCCACTTCTCAGGGCAAACGGAGAGCCAGGTTCTGAGTGCAGAGCAGGACACCGCTGGTAAGTATGACAGTAATTTCAATGATATTGGGTCTTCTCACCCACTACTGAATCGCCCACTCCATTATCATTCATCATAGGATTCTGTTGGCTTGGTTTGCCTGTCTTGTCTCAGAGTGGATTACTGGATTGTAAAAACAGACTGTTGAGCAATAGATGGTCATGGACACACTGTGTGAGTGAGACCTCATGGAGAAGTACATTCCCATGGGCAAAGATGATACACAGCAAAGGGCACTAACATCACCAGTGTACGCCACAGAGTGCATGATTTGTTTAGAGGATACAACATCTCCAGCACATCTCGCCAGTCAACTTTCAATCAATCAGGATGGGATGGCAATGTGCAACAACTGAAACCTGGACATCAATAGTCATGGTTTCATTGTACTTGTCATCCAAGTTACAGTTACACAGTTTCACACCCAATTAGAGAGGGACTGCTGGTTCCAGGGATGGTTGAAGACCATTTTCTGGATGGATGAAGCCCATCTCACAATTCATGCCCTTGCCCATTCTCACAGTTTGTTCTGAGCGGTCCCAAATCCACATGGCCAGGCCAATTTCATGCAGCGCTGCAAACACCGTTCTGGGGGGTGACTTTCTGCAGGAAGTGGCTCCTTTCAGGTTAGCAGCAGTAGCTGGCTGCTCCACTTACGTGTTCTGTAGTGGCAAAGGCAATATAATTGTGTTACAGGGGTCAATGGAAACAACCCTGAAAAAAAAAACCCACAAGGCATGTTGTTTTTTTGCATTAGTATCAGGTAACAAGTCCCATAAGATATGCATTAGAACCCAGGTTATTGTGGAGATGAAACAACATGCCTCCTATGGCCGCTCTGAATTTAAATCTGTCTAAGCAGCCAGCTGTGGTCTTAGTTGCTAAGAACGACAGTGTGCAGTTAACAAAGGTCTTGTCTTGACGATAGTTTTTCCTAAAAAGATGGCAGAGATTTTAGGATTCTCATGCAATAATTTATTGCAGTTATTGCCATAATGATAACCACATGGCAGTGGGGAATATTGTCCTGAATAAGCAGTCTGTGGACACCTGATGGGGAGTAGTATGAAGTCAGATGTGAAAAGATGTGTAAAATGTCATCCAAGTTGTTAGGTATATAAGTAATCTCAATCTGAACCAGTTAGATCTGCACTGGTCATGTAAAATTATGGACATTCTGGTTGTGGCATTTTACTGTGAAAGTCAGCAAAGGATCCACCTTTGTTGACAATTACATCTGTGTTCTGTATTTCTGTTTATTTTAGAACTTTCAGTACAAATAATTCCCCAGAACACTATAAATCCACATCCTAATATTGTTTACAAATGTTAAAGACAACCAACCAGTTTTGTAACCTTTTGTTTTTTTTTCTTTCTGCTCTAAATAATTTATTTTTAAACTGGCTGTGTGTTTTCGTACCATTATCCTTTTGAAAAAACACAGAAATCACCATCTGGAGAGCATAACAATGCTCTAAATGCATATTTTCTGAGAAGCTTTTTCTTAAATGAGAAGAATCCTAAAATTAATCAACAAATCCTAATCCTTGTTTAAATGGCAGAGCCTAGATTAAGCCTTGCATCTGAAAGCAAAAAAGCATAAAATACAAAAGTTTACAAATGCATGAAAGCCATTTGGCCCATCGCATTTGGTTACTTGTAACTCCTCCAAGACTCCAGCCATTTCAGACATGAGTTTCTCGAACGTGCAGATATCAGCTGTTTGTGCCTTTCTGTTGTGACACACCCAGGGGCAGTGTGTAAGAGTAGCAAGGCTGAAGAAAAACAGATGCACAAATGCTGTTGTATTATAAAAATAGTGCTATACTGTATATTTACATTGCAAGAAAACAAGACCAAACACAACACAATAAAACACAAAACTAAAACCTTTAGCACCCCGTCGAGCTACTGCCTAAACCTTTTTGAGTCCTGTTCTATTTACTAGCCAGACGACTAAAATGTTAAGGGGATGCAAAGTACAGTCTCTCTCCAAGACTCTTCTCTCAGAACCCTTCTCTGCTTTCTTCTTCCCTTCAGTCAGATTGTAGAGGATCTGATGTCTTCCTTTAGATTAAAGGTATTGACCAGCCTGGAAGCTTCAGCTTCCAAGTTTTTTAGACCAGCCCAACCAATCATCTTCTCTCAACTGATTGAGGGAGACAGTCACGGCACCCTTTTCACTGTGTAAAAATTGTTTCCTGTCCTGAATGATCCGAAACTTTAAATTCCTGTGTGTCCCCAAGTAACCTCAGTTGAAGACTACAAATGTTAAGTTCCTGTCACTGGTGTGAGTGTGACTCGCCCTTCAGACAGGTGCTTAAGGCGTGCAGGCTCAAATCGTTCTTGTTCCCTGATTCTAGTGAAGACTCGGGACCCCATCCACCATAACACTGAGCAGGGTGGCTACAGCTCTGAGGAAGATGGGGCTGCTGGCACCTACAGAGCTGCCAGGAGAGCACTGAGACAGCAGCGCTCAGAGGCCAGTAAGCAATCCTGCATTCAAGTCCTGCACAGATACCAGCCTCTTTACTGTCTCCCTACATCCTCCTTCCACTCGGAAACTGTACTGAGGAAAACAAGCTTATGTTGACCACAAAGGAGCAAATTAACCATACTTGTAAAATACCAGTATTTGTAGCTACACTTGTAGAACACCAATGCAAATGAGAGATTATTTGCACAAGATTTATGCAATTCAGTGTAGCGCTTAGATGCTACCAGAGCAGCATAATAAACTGTAAAGGGCACACAGGTTTTATAGACCTCTTGTTGATCAATAATAAATCCCTTTAACTTTTTTTTAACCATATCTGAAGGGGTTAATGGGTTCGGATAGTAATAGTGGGCACATTTTGTATTGCTTAAACTGTGAAGCCAATTTCCCCTGCTCTTATACCCCCTTCCAGTTCATTCTCACTAGTGAATTGTGTCTGGCCAGGTGGATGAAGCCAACCAGTCCCCAGTGCCCGCCTTCTCATTGAGTCTTATGGCTTCATTCTGCCCTGGAAGTTGCTTGTTAGCACAGCACAGGCATTTTTCTCATCTCTCAGCTCATCAGTGGGACGTGTGTGTTATCCTGCTAGGCAGAGGGATCCTGTTTGCCTTGGGCACTCAGGCAGTCGTGTGGTTTGCACGTGCCCAGCGCCATCACTGACCCACAAATCCATCTTGCTGGCCGAAGCGGGTTTTTGTAAGAAATGTTTAAGTGTTTAAAGATGTGAGGTGACCTCCCTGTCTCTGGAAACAGAGCCCGGAGAAGCTGGCGAGAAAGCGAGGTGATTCAGATCTGCCGTTTTTCACAGACACTGAAAACCTGAGCCGGGGGAGCTGTCCTCCAGTGGCCCGCAAGCCTTCAGAGTCACGGATGGCTCCCGGCAGCACGGAGAGCCAGGACTCCTACTTCAAAGAGGCCGATGGCGATATAAACAGAGGCCCAGTAGGTTAGTACAGACACGCAGGGAATAGATTAAACACCCTTTACCGGGCCTTTTACCCTGTCCAGCTCTTTTTTTTATTATTTCTCTTTCTTATTACAAGTTGTGGCACCTCGTTCGGGTCTCTCTGATCTGGGAAAAAAATCTTGGCAATAACTTTCCCTCATCAACAACCATACATCCTCATCTTTCTAAGTCTGCGTCATTTCAGTCTGTCTTCATAAAAAATGGCTTTTCTTAGGATTAACCAAAGTACCGTTGTCTCTTCCCTGCAGGCTCAATGTCTTCTTCATATTACTGGTATCAGGATTAAACATACTGTTATAGATGTGGACTCTCATGGCATTCTTCTCATGGCAGATGATGTCTAGATATGTACTGTGCTTTTTGACCATAAAGCCTAACGTGTTATCTATGTTTTTACAGTATATCACCTCCCAACCATATGGTTAGCTGTAGTGTTTCAATTTCCATTATAGCTTTGGCACTTTCATGATAACTTTTGTGTCTGCCCACATTTGCATTTTGTGTAGTTCTTGTTGTATTACTGATGTAGTATTCTTCAGCTCCTTCTAGGTTTGTATCATCAACAGATTTGTTCAGTCCAGTGAATATTCTATTACAAGGAATAGCAGGTTCATGCTGTAAGACTCAGGACTGCTTCTGAAGTATCAGTGCCACCTTCTTGGCTGGTTCAGTTGTTTGGGCATAGCTGACATACATGGCATGTGCAGACGAATCATGGAAGTGTTTTATATCATAATGCAATGTGAATTCAAAGGTATTAGCTTTATGATTGCTAACTCCCATGACGTACAGTACATGTCTATTGATTCTGATACTTGTTCTCACTGTTCCTTGCTCCTGGGCAGTTTCATACAGTAATTAAGACCTATTGCTGTCAACGTTGCAGCACAGTAATTATTCACTGCCTAAATGACTATGGAATTTTGAACCTTGCTCCTCATTAACATTCAAATTAACATTTTGTCTTGTATTTCAGTACACAAAAGTCTCAATCCAAGGGTGACAAGAAGCACTGCATTTTGACACCTACACAGGGTTAGATTGTATTAGTCCCTGACTAAGAACCCCAATCTCTCTGAAAATATGGACCTTATCAGCTTCTACTACACTACTTTTTTTATTTATTTCATCAAAGAACATGTAACAGACTAGAAAAAAAACAGTTGTTAATGTTGTACTTATTTATAGTCTTAATTTTCTTTTGCATCCTCACACATTGTGCTGTAAAATCCTGGAAAAAGACTAAGAAGATAGAAAAATACCCTAATGTGAACGATTTTCGTTTTTTAAATTTTGCTTTTCCTCCTTCCAATGGATAATGCCGAATGTTCTATGTTGACAGTAATGGAAGAAGTGGTGTAGATGAGTGGTAGAGAGCAGCGCCGGTGCAGAGTGTGAGACAGTCCTGTGAATGTGTCTTCCTCTCTCCCTGTGTGCCCAGCCATGAAGAGAGCCAGCTCAGTGCAGGCGTCCCGCCCCCCCCCGGCCTCTGCCCAGGTGGTTCAGCCAGGTAAAGGCATGGCACTGTGCTCTCACAGCACTGCACCTGCACATCTGCTCGGCCTTTAGACCTCAGGACACTGAGAAATATGGGACATGAAACACGCATGGATACTCCAGATGTATCATGTTCATACTGGTTTTACTTACTTGACCTCCAGAGGAGCAAGTAAAATGTTTTCAGCTATAAAGAAGATTTCCTATATTTTTATATACGACCCATTAATTTGCATTTCCCAAGGATGAATGTACTGCACCCCTTTATTAAAACCATTGCTACCCATAAAATGCTTGGCTAGTGAGATGACCACTTTCTGTTTGCACCTTACAGGGAGCAGAGCTTCTCAGAACCCCCCTTCTCGGTACCCAGAAGAAAAACAAGGTGAGATTCCTCTACTGATGCTGCAGTTACAGTCGGGATTCTTTCATTTGTAGTGTCTTTACATGCTTGTGTCTTTTGTAGATATATACCTTTCTTAATAGACTGCAGGCCATATTCAGCTGCAATTATCTTCATAAACACCAGAATCCCATAATACATAAATAATGCAAACATGTGGATCCATTCAGCCATGATCAAAATGCTGTTTATTCCTCGGGAGGGCTGCAGCACACAGGAGTCAGGGCTGGAAGCACAGGGCACCAGGTAGGATTGCTCCCTGGAGAGGATGCCAGTCTCATGCAGGGCCTTCCAAAACAGGGAAAACAGCCATGGGAAAGTGGAGAAGATGCAAATTCCACACAGAAAGAACTCCAGGAAAAGAACCGAGGAGCTATGAAGCTACGCTGATGACTGCAAGGTCACCGTGCCACCCATAAAACTACAAATGTTTGGATCCAAAAAAGGACCAGAAGTTACCAAAATTCATTGATGCTCAGAGTAATTCCACCCTAGATGGTTTATGATTGAAGTAGAGGCAGACGTTTAGAGCATGATTTGCCATGAAGGCTACAGTGAAGCATCTGCTTGTTTCGTGCTATAGAACTAACCTTCCCCGAAGAACACTACAACTATAATGCCAATATCATTGAAAAAGACAGGTAAAACAAGTAAAAGGCACATCAGTTTGAATTGCATCATCAGTTAATGATAATAATAATTATTGTGTGGCTCGTTCTATGTGTTGTTTTCTCAGCAGGACAGATGGACAGTGCTTACTCCACAGGCACTCAGAGAGATGAGAGGTCTGTTATGCCAGGGAAGGATGAGAAGAGGCAGGCAGCCTCTTACAGCACCCCCCCAGTTCGGCACCAGCAGCCCCCCCCAGAGGAGGATGAGGAAGAGGCCAACAGCTATGATTCTGATGAAGCCAGTAAGATTACGTAAAACTGGTCTCCTGTCTGTCCTCCAAGCTTGGCTCCATACTGCGGGTGACTGGGCTTTTTCTTGATTTGGCCCAAAGCTCTGGAATTCTATCCCTAAGAAAATCAGAGAGTCACTTTCCCTGAGCACTTTTCAAAACTTAAAACCTTTCTTAGAGGAGCTTTTATGTAGCTAGTTCTTAGTTTGCCCCTTTGTTTTCCTACTGTATTCCAAACCCTTATTGTAGTTGTGTAATTCTGCGGTGTCCTCTCATTGTGTGCTTTCGTAAAGCTCTTTGAGAAGCCACTTTTAATAGTGCTGTATAAAATTAAAATTTGATATTATTATTACTAATGAATATGAGAAAACTACTTTTAGGCTAAGGGAGCATTTTAAAACCCAAACTTCCTGAAGCATCCTGTGATTCTGGTGCCAACATTACACCCCAATGAGCTGTGTTTTCCCACAGAGATATTTCTTCAGATGACTGACTGAAAATATAGGACTGTTCGACTGATGTGTGTAATGTCTGAATTGTGAATGATATAATGCCTGTGCTGTGTTCACATTGCAGCAACTCTGGGATCTCTGGAATTCAGCCTTCTTTATGAGCAAGAAAATAGCTCCTTACACTGCACTATCATCAGAGGAAAGGTGAGTTTGGGACAGGGAATCTCAGTTCTTTAAAATCAGAAAGTTGCAGTGTTTACTAAAAACTGAGTGTGGGTGTCAGAATGAATCAAGTATTATAGTTGTTATACTGTACGTGCCATATTCTGTGAGAGGAATAACTGCTTTGTTAAGATTTAGAATTAACTACTTCACTTAATGTGAAGGACCAAATCCGTTGTGTACAGTATACACAAACATTGTTTACAGCTGAAAATGCAGCTACAACAAATGAACGGTTTTAGCTGAAGTAAGAAAACAAGAAGAAAAAGAACGGTGTAATTTTAGTTGAATTCAAGGTAAATATCATGATGTCATGATTTGCTCCTGCAGGGGCTGAAGCCAATGGACTCCAATGGGCTGGCAGATCCATATGTCAAGCTGCACCTGTTGCCAGGAGCCAGTAAGGTAAAGGGAGAAAATGCCACCGTCGCACACGTACCTGCCTGCAGGTAGGTATAGCTCAGTGCTCTAGTTTGCTGGACCCACCGGGGACTACTGTACATACTGTACCAGGGGGATAAATGACAATTGGTAATCATCAACTGGTTATAATCACTTGCTTAATTTTATAAGTATAGTACATATAAAAGAAACACATGGCAATGCCCATCTCTTTTTATCCATGTTTAGTCAAACAAGCTGCGAACCAAGACTCTGAGAAACACCCGAAACCCGATGTGGAACGAAACTCTGGTCTACCATGGCATCACTGACGAAGACATGCAGAGAAAGACACTGAGGTAACCATGGCGACCTGTCCCTGCCTGCGAAATAGGGCAGCACAGAGAGCAAATGTGTTTAAAACACAATGGTTTTGCACTGCTGCATTCCCATCTATGATTGTATGTAAATATCCTGTGGAGATTTTTGAGATGTGGAAATTTCTGTTGCCTGAAATATAACCATTTACACCTGCAGGTGGACAAAATTCTCACTGTGTGCTCAGTCATCCGCACGATAATCTAGGAGAGCTGTTTAGTCAGTAATAACAATAGGCAAGTGAAGAAGAGACTGCACGCTCTGTGAGCCGAAGTTGTTGTTTTTTACACTTGGTACTGACCGAGGAAACAAGTAGACCATTTTGTATTTCCAGTTTACATTTTTGCTACCTGCATCTGAAACCCCAGATATAGATTTTATATGAATATACTTACATGAAGTATGTACATTTACTTTATTGAAAATATGTATACTGTATTCAGTTGAAAAGGGGAATATTTAATGTTTTCAGGGCACATGTGGTATTCTTTATTGCATTTTATTAACATTGTCTCTCGAGTTATGCCAAACAAAATTGAAAGGAAGCATCTAGCCAGCTAGCATACCAATTTATCATTTGGATAATTCTGCAGTATAGCACTTGTTCTGGACATGCTGCCAAGAACACCTCTGGGTGTGTGTCTTATTGACTGAACAGGGAATATTAATGGTGTGGCTTTCCATTGTTTTCACTCCAGGATCTCAGTCTGCGATGAAGACAAATTCGGTCACAATGAGTTTATTGGGGAAACACGAGTGTCTCTGAAGAAACTGAAAATCAACCAGAAGAAGAACTTCAATGTGTGTCTGGAGAGAGTCATCCCGGTGAGCTAGGCTGTTTTCTGTAAAGACTGTACAAACAAGACTAGTAGTGTTAGATCCAGAATCTTTCTGTCATCCCGATTTGAAAAAGAATGGGGTTGTGGGAAGTGGTTGCTGTTTTGCACCTCCTGGGTTTTATCTACACATTATACACTTTCTACCGTGGAGATGAGGAATTGAAGGACAGTGACAAAATAAATACAAAGTTGCTTCCTGGCAAGAAATATAGAATAATTTCCAATGAAAAAACACCCCCGATTTTATACATGTGCATGTCGTGTGCACACTGTAAGACTGTAGATCTAATGCTGATTTAGAAAACAATTTCAAATGCCCTTCACTCCCTTTGACGTAAAAAGTGTCAATGGGTGGTTTGGAAGGCAAGAGAGTGTCCTAATATGGAATTTGGACAGACTGGTAAGAGAATGTTCAATGGTTTTCAGAATTCTGTGCTAGAATTCATTCAGTTGGATTCTCACCAAAAGTGTTTTTGACATCAATTGGCATACACCCGCTCACTTTGGTTTAGCAGACTTCTTGATGAATGAGAATACCTTTATTCACTCACACAGATACCTACTATATACACTATATAACCAAACATACTGGGACAACAGACTGTACATTACATCTGTTACAGTCAGGAGGGCGTAGGCCCACACTTACGATAAAGCTAAATGTCTGCTGCAGTCCCAAAATGCTAATGACCTCACATGTGTTTTCATTTTGGTCCCTCAGTGCAAGTTTGTAGAGGAGCAAGAGGGCAATGAATTATTGGTCTTGCGGCCTTTGTTCCAACTGATTTTTAATTACTGAAGTGAACATCAGCACCTGGCAAGCTTGGACTGGAAGAGGACTCTTCATTTCCAGATCTTTGTTTTTAGTTTTAGTTTTCCTAGGAACGTAAGGACAGTTACAAAAGAAGCCCATCTAGCTTATTTGGTTGTTAGTAGAGAATTAATCCAAATATCTCATCCAATCTTCTTGAAAGAAGCCAGGGTATCACCTTTAACAACATAGTTGTGGAACTTCGTCCATACTGTACTTCCACTACCCTTTGACTAAAGAAGTGACTCCTCTTCTCAGTTTTAAATGCACCTCATTATTTGAAGTTTACCCAAGTTCTTTATCACATTTCTTTTGCTTCCATCACACAGTACCTGACCATCATAAAACCATCAATGATTTTGGAGCTCTATCTACTTGCTGAGAGCTGCAGAATCCGTAAGCTGTACCCTCCCAGGATATTTCCCAGGGAAGAATATTAGAACCTCTCACTCTCTGCCACAATATATATTGAATATAATATTCAGCATTTTATTATCCACATGAGATCAATACAGAGCTGAAGAGATTGCAACCATGGGTTTATTGTGGAGACTTGGGCATCCCTTAATACACTCAAGATTTATAGCTGCATTAAAATTAGTTTTTTATTGTATATACTGTATTTCTTGTATGCATTTTGGTTCTGTTATATCGTTCTCAGATGAAGCGTGCTGGAACAGCAGGCTCCGCCCGTGGCATGGCTCTCTATGAGGAGGAGGTAACTATTGCTCACACCCATTCTGCAGTAGCAGCTAGCAGTTCCACACCAGTTTGCGAGAACATTTTTATAGAGGATTATTAGTTTACATAGTGGGGGCGTACTTAGATCTTTACACACATTTAACGTTGTGACAGAATCAATAATGCATGTACAGTATAAAAAAGACACAGCACTCAGAACTCAGTGTTTGTAATACATACCTGTAGTATTTACCACGGGAGGGGTCAAGGACCATGTTAAGATTACGACTGGGGTTGAGGGTTTGTGTTGGGGTAGGTATTTGAACCTGTTATGTCTTTTGGTCTTACATGATCGCGAGTGCTGTTCAGTGTGTGTAGCAGTGCAGTGCCCAGGATGTTCTGGTTCTGTGCTCAGGTGAAGGATGGCAGTGAGGTGGAGGAGCGGGGCCGTATCCTGGTGTCTCTCATGTACAGCACACAGCAGGGCCGGCTCATCGTGGGCATCATCCGCTGTGTCCACCTGGCAGCTATGGATGCCAACGGATACTCTGACCCCTTCGTTAAAATGTATGATCCCTGGATATGCCTTTTCTTTTTTAAAATATTGTGCTAGGTAATTACCAGTCCAGTATGGGAGCCAGGACAGGGCATCACAGACAAGGATGTTGTGCACAAGGGAGCATTTTGCCCGGCCACCCTTAATGCTCTGCCTGCAAAAAACATATTTTATTTCACAGAGCATTTTACTGGATGTATAAATAATTCAATCTTATGATCTCTTTTAAAAAACATGCTATACGGTATACAACAGGTCTCCCAGAGTTGCCTTCTTCTGGGCAACAATCCTGTAGATTTTGCTGGTCTCTTTAAATCAGCAGCAGCTAAGAGCTTTTGCATAAGGTTTAACTTGGTCCAGTTATGCCTTAATTCAACTAATTTAACCCTTGTCCAAAGGTTTTTGTAGTTATGATGATTTCAAGAGACACAAGTGTGTATATTAAATACTGCAAGGTTTCAAGCAAGGAATCACTATGAATTATGGCTAAGGGAATTTATGAAATGCAGTGCTTGTTTATATCAAACTGATTTGATTTGCCTTATTAACTTGTCACGTTTATAGCATCCAGGCCTTGTAATTTGACTGCTTTGGTAATTTACACCAAGCATCATCTTAACAGCGATGAGCAAAATTAACAAATCACATGGAAAACCTATCCAATTATTAACATTATTATGTTACTCCACTTCTCACGTGAGCCAACAGATTGTGATCCTTGCGAACTGGAATTGGGCACGCGTGGCCTGTGATAATTCAGCGGTTTAGTGGATTGGCAATGAGCAGTCTGCAGGAGGGAGGGACTTTCCCCTCTGTGGCCGAGACAGAGACAGTTCGGCGACGAGGAAGATGGTCCTAGGAACCCCTGCCTTCTGCCGTAGAGGTGCACTGAGTAGTACATACTGTACATGTCCCTTTAAACTACACTGGAGAGTCACGTCTGTGCTCTTCTGGGGCAATGGATTGTTCACAAGCACATGACAGAGATGGGGACAAGCTTGGATATTGATGCAGCTAGGAATGGTACAGACAGATGTATCAATCAGGACCACGACTCAGGTGTACTTGAATGATTTTTTTTTCCATCTTTTCCATTCTGTTCTAGCTGTCTAAAGCCAGACATGGGGAAAAAAGCCAAATATAAAACCCAGATTAAGAAGAAGACTCTGAACCCAGAATTCAACGAGGTGATCTGAAATTTTATTTTCCAGTTACAAAATGAAAATGCATGTTTTTTTCCCCCACTAATGACACTTTTGTGCCAATTTCATTTACGCAATGATTTTGCCAGATCAGAACACCTGCTTGTATTTTACTTCTTGACAGAGTGAAAAATTGAAAATCTCTCTTGGTATTTTAGCTGTGAGTACTGTAAACTCTATCCAGGAGCCTCAGAAGAAATCATCCGAGTTTGGCTTATGAAATACTAGAAGCATTTCTGTATACATTTAAATTGATACAATAATTCAATATTATTGTATTAATAAATCATTAATACAATAATAAATACTCAAACAGTATACAGTAAATGCATGATGACATTGGCTTTTAGCTTTGTATTCTGAAACAAAGGGGTATGCATTCATTAAAAACTGTCAATGAAATAGTGTTAATTTCCTATTACAACAAACATCTAAAATGTTATATTTTATTACATATTTGTATTTTAGGATCCCTTGAGTTGTTAGTCTTTGGACAGTTTTTTAGAATCACCCATAAGTAGGCTATAAGGGTACACGAGTTTCTGAATTCCACTTGGGTGCCTGTGACTTTGCAGGGACACGCCAATTTATGATTCCTTAAATTGGCGTTCGCTCACTTGTAATGCAAGCGGAGCTTGTGTGGTTTCAGATCGGGAAAGGCACTGACACTGGAGGAGGCAGTGCACTGCTCCTCATTCTCCACATGGCTTTTTCAACAGTGAAAACTGAGGAAGGACATCAAATAGAAATGAAGAGACATTTTTTGTTAAGAAAAAAAGGTGACAATATGAAGATTTGTTTCCCCCCCACAAACCGATGTTGTTGTGTTTCAGGAATTCTCCTATGAAATCAAACACAGCGAACTGGCCAAGAAATCCCTTGATATCTCCGTGTGGGATTATGATATTGGAAAATCAAATGATTACATTGGTAAGTGCAGGAGCTCTCTGCCGCCACCGAGCCGTTGTTTTCCAGACCGTTTACTACCAAACAGCCCATACAGATACAGCTCACCATCTCGGGGAAAAAAACACCCTTTAATGCCTCACACTGATGATCAGTACCAAATAATCGGTCTAAGATCTTATCCAAATGACGGCACCCCTACAGCATCCCCAGTCTCCATAAGTGGGCACTGGATTTGAAATTCAGGTTCAGAAGGAAGAGCGCCACCTACTGGTCCACCAGCACAACAGCAGCCACATGGCTTTTCTTAATGCAACTCCAGACCTAGAGAGCTTAAGACAACAGGCTACAATTGGTCATGCAACCTTAGCATCTCCCCTTGGGCACCTCCTCTCCACCCACTTAGCCCAATCCGAATAGTCACTATACTGTAAGATGATTTATCACTGTGCTGTGCTTCTCATATCTCTGTATTACCGAGACGCCTGTCTTCTGCACAGGTGGCTGCCAGCTGGGAATCACAGCTAAAGGAGAGCGTCTGAAGCACTGGTATGAGTGCCTCAAGAACAAAGACAAGAAGATCGAGCGCTGGCACACCCTGCTGAATGAGAACCACGTCTCTAGCGATTAGGAAGCCCTGCATGCCTCCTCAGTTTCTCCAGACTTGTTGTTTTCCTGTCTTCCAGCACGCTGGCTAATGTTTCTGTCTGCTCAAGCCTTTCCATTTCTTGCTGGGTCCCTTCACACTTGATAAACTTCACTGTAAAGAAAGATGTCGCCACCCTCCCAGTGTTAAGTAGTTGGTGCATAAAGGTTTAACCATGTTTCATGTATGGATAATTTGTGATTAGAAGTGAAGGTTCCTCTTATTCCTTTAGTGAAAGGGTTGTGTAAAGCTTTTTAGTCCTTTCGCCACAATATTTTGTTAGAAATCTGGGGGTGAACTGGGGTCACGAACTTTGCATTTTAGCCCAAATAAAGAGTTTAAATAAACATTGCAGAAGCATTACAGCTAGAAATTATGCCTTCCTAACAAAAAAAAATCACATTATTTTGCTATTATTTCTAGATAATAGATAAATGTACTGTTTAGTTTCTCCATTGTAAATACGTTTAAAATTTATGAAACTTTACACAGGCTGGCAGTTGGCACAATGAACTGATGCTCTTTCTGTTCAGTCAGAAGGGGTCAGGAAACCCTCTCATTATTTCGTATCCCAATTTTTTATTGCCTAACCAGTGTGTCATGGATATTCTGTCAGTGATCCGGCTGTATAGTTTAACTGTTTGTTTTCTGCGATTCACCAGAAAGGAGAAGTAAAAGAGTTTAACAGCTATGATGAAGCAGCAGAGCCAGGCCCATGAGTGTTCACTCTTCACTCAGACAGTAAAGCCACAAACACAGGACTGGATTGGGATGGAGACATGAGAGGTAGAACAGCTGACTCACTCTAGGTCCCAGTTCATGTTCAAGGGGGTTCGCTCGGGCTTCCTCTCCCTCTAGTGTTTGCTGGCTGCATTAAACTACCCCAGGGAGTACAAGTGGAGTTCATGCTTGGGAGAGGGGTAGCTCTCATGACTACTGCGCTGGCTGCAGTGCTCTGCCTCTTTTTGGTCAACTTTTCCAATGTTGGGGAGTAAGGGTGGCCCACCCTGGTGCTCGGGAGCTGAGGCTCAGCGGGGTTACCGGTCCCCCTTGAAAAAAAAACTATTTGCAAAGATCTGGGGTACACGGTTTGATCAGTTTGTTAAATTAACTGCTTTAAGAGCCTAGTGTTTTAGGATTATTTGAGATGAACAGGGCTATTTAAATGCATTTAGTTATAGTATTTCTTGAGAGCTACAAGTGCTTGAGGGCTCAAAATGAAATTGTTTCAAGTATTTAGAAATGTATCATTTAAGGGTGACCTATAATAATGGTTGTAGTGTGGCTCTCAAGGACCGGAGATCTGTAACCCTACTCTGATGGAGTAATCTTAATAGAATAACAACCACCGTCAGTCATTTCAGTTCATGTTATTTATTATTCTGAAACTGGTTTCCTTTCTATCCTACATCATCCACCTCAGAGGAATACATAGTTTAAATATTCCAATTATCACCTTTACCATATTGGAATATGTTCCAATGATCGTATTCAACTTAGTGCTGAAGGCTCATACCAGTACGGTAGGCAAGAGAACTGTGCACACCCTCCCCTGAAACACTCACTTTCATAGCAGGTCACCCTTTGCACACTGTTTGACTCTGCAGAGGCCTGATTCAGCTCTCATGCTGCACACTGATTTTGGCACCACCGATGCCAGGAGTTTAACATTTATTGCACTAAACACTGGAGTCTTGTGAGTAAAAGACGGCAAGGAGAAGCTAGAAAAATCTTAAGCTAACAGGGATACCCAAACTAACTGACCAGGATTCCCCAAGCATTTGGTGAGCAGGTAACGATGTAGGACTGACCTTTGGTCCTCTCGGCCGTGGCTGAATGGCTGCAGGCCCACTGTGATGTCAGTGAGGGATGCCACGCCCCCGACTGGTCCACCTCTCCTGTCTGGCACTGTGGAGCTCTATGGGTACGAGTATATCTGCCAGTCATCACTCTCCCTATTTGAAAGAGCACACAGTGTTGAGAGAAGTTTTGTGAACCCCCTAGGATGGTTCATATTCCTGTATATTTTACACCTGCAAATTGTGATTTTGTCGGTGATGGCAAACTATCCAACAAAACAGCCCCAAAGCTTGCTTCTTGTAACACCATGCTTGACTGTCAGGGTGAGATTCTGCAGTGCTACCTTAATTCCCATAAATGTGTTAGGGGTTCAAATATTTTTTCTTTATACCACATGATGTGTGAGAAAAAAGGTATTTACATATAAAAAATGAATATATTTTGGAAGCAATTAACTGGTACTTACAGTAGCCTACAGTACATGTTAATATATATTAAAAAAATGCTTTTGGGGAAGAAGGTGGGAAAAGTTGTCAATTCACTATTATGTTTAACAGATCCTGTTCCTCTCCACGTCAAAACAATCTTCACATTAACATTCTGAAGGTGCCAACGTTGGAAAGGGCCAGTTTTATTGTGCTTTTTAAATAGCCAGTGTTTTCCTTGCTAGTTCCAGGATTCGCACACGATCGTTCTGACTGAGATCACTGCGGTAGAATGAGACGGCTCTGAACCCGTTCTGAAGCGTATCCAGAATAAGCAGTCCCTCAGAAATTAATGTTCTGCTCATTTTGCATGAAATCTGTTGATGGGCAGCTGGCTTCTATTATCTTGTGCTCAGAGCATTCATGCAGTAGCCCTTAATAGAGCGAAGGCTTTCACCCGTCCCTCTCTTGACATAATCTAGATGCTTTTGGCGTGCTATATATAGGCGAGTACTGCATATCAATGAAAGCACACACTGTACAATGGAATGACCTCAGACTTTATATTACAATTTGCAAGTTCTACAAACCCTATGCATGATATGTCTTGTAGACCATAATGTGGACATCTTATGTTAATCCTGCATTTCTTTTTGTGTGATATTTCTTGATGTGTCTCGTATCTACCTTCTAAATCCTTAAACCAGTTTTTCCTTTTCTTTGAAAGAGAAGGCACTGGTGACAGATTCTTGTATTGAGTGCACAGTGTTTGAAGGGATTGAGTGTAATAAAACTTTAGAACCTTAAGAAAAAGGAACTGAAAATTGAAAATACAATTTGTCATGGCTTGTATAGCCTCCATCTTTGTGGTCAGATCACTGTATTTTGTCCTCCTAAGCAATTTCACGTGCCAGCATAAAGGATGTAGATGAACAAGAGTTGTCCGGCTCAGAAGTGTCCAGCGCTGGTCCAGGAGAGCCATACTTCTGCATGTCTTGTATTAAATGGTCAGTTCAGCAGGAAATGAAGTCCATTAGACAGTGTGGCTTTCCTGGCCTAGGGCCGGATGCTCCTGGTCTAACTTCTTATAGCATAGAAATGAGAAATGTACCTAGCCAAGTACATGAAAGGAAAAGTGTACAGAAAGGGTTGGACTGCACATTCCTCATTAAATATCAAGGCAAATATAATGGCAGTTAAAAAAATACTTTTATCAGTTAAAATAATATTATATTTCAAGCTTTTTATTTTCTGTACAACTTTTTCACTACAAAACTTTACATGAGCCTTGACCTGTAGTACATTATTTGTTGATGTTATACACCTGTCCATAATAGATAAGCTTAAAGCATCAATTTAAGAATGATAGAAATGTTAATGTTTCTCACTATCTATATCTGTGGAGGTTTTTAACCAGCCAGCAACTGGTGTGCCTATACCTTAATTAGTTACAAATTTGGTCCATTTAATTGAAGCAGTTTTATGCCCATTTTGCAAGTTCAGAATGAACACCAGAGTGTTTATTTGCAAAGATGGCTGATTAATCTCTGTGTGTGATAAATTTACATGTATCACAGACGGATTGATCATTTTTGCAAATTCTCTTTTTTTCTAGAGATATAATTTTTCCTATTGTCTATACAGGAGCTACTGTATTATTATTAGCATCATCATCATCATCTGAAACCGTAATTGGTGAAATATCATGCTCTGTTTCTGTTCATTCTACCTTGTTTAATTCTCAGGGTATTGACAAATGAGTCATTAAGGGAAAGATTTGTGCACTCAGCTATGAAAATGGATTCATTCACCAGTGCTTTTAGTCTTTTCCTTCCATTTCCTTTAGTTGATAATATTATAACAGTGTTAGTTTATCTGTTATTCATTTTCATGCAATTGTTTGAATGAACATTTGATTTTCTCTTATTGTAAATAAGTAGTGCATGCACTGAGGAATATATCCTATAATGTTTGCAATTGGATTAGCATGTAAAGATTTTTCTTTATGACCACTATGGTTTACACATACTTGTGGAAAATAAAAAAAAAACTGAAGGAACTGTATTGATGTGAATCTGTTTTCCTTTGCATTAATTATTTTAACTGTGAGATGACCAGGAATTATAGTTTCTCAGAATATTTTTGTTGTAACTCATGGTTACTTGTGCAGTGAAGTCCAGATTTTATTTTGAGATGTACAGGAAGTATAAAAATCTTCATAAAATATCATGTGGTAGGATCGGTCCATACTCTTTTTAAGCATGAGTTGAACTCACTGTAATTCTGTAATCTCTGTCAAACGCTTCCTGTAATTCTGTAATCTCTGACAAAAGCTTCTTACATCACTCTCTCACTAATACTAAAGCAGAAATCAGAACTGCTACTCTTACAGCACAGCCCTTAAGTGCTTTCAAGATTTTGCAGTAATCTTCTGCATCAAACCCTTAATGCACAAGTTAAGTCTTAGAAAGCCTAATGAAATTTGATTTCACATGTGATACTATGTTGGTTCAGCAAACAAAGAGGTCTCTAACATTGCTGTCTATTTCCGGGTTTTTTATTTCACTTACACACATT